TAGTGGGTTTAAATGTATAACCAAACTATAAAACATTTAGAAAAATAGAAAATGTTCAAGATTCAGGACTATGAATGAGTTTTTAGCCTTGACAACAGCAGCCAAACCCATTAAAGAAAAAACTGAGAAGTTCAACTTCATCAAAATTTTTTGTTCTGTTAAAGATCTTAAGAGGATTAAAGTAAAAGCTACAAATTGGAAAAAAAAAACTGTTTGGAACTTACAGATCTGAAGAAGATTAGTATCTTGAACATTTTTTTTTAAACTTCTCAAAACTGAACAGTATAAATAATCTAATTAGAAAATGAAGTGACAACTCACTAAAAGGGTATTCACATGTCAGATAATCACATAAAAAGATGTTTAATGACACTTGCTACTAGGAAAACAAGCTAATGCAATGAGATACAACTACATACCTATAAAAATGACTCAAATTAAAAACTGCAACAATACCAACTACTGATTAAGACACAGAGGCACTGTCTCACACATTGCCACTAGAAACGGGAAAGAATGTAAAAAGGGGTAGAAATATTTTGATAATATTTTTAAACTTAACATGTAACCCACTAATTATTCACCCAGGCATTTGTCCCAGAAAAATGAAAATTTTTTTCCAACAGAAAGTTTGCACACAAATATTTACAGTAACTTTATGTGTAATAACTAAAAACTGGTAACAATTCACTCCATAAGTGAATAATTAAAACATTCCATATTATGGAATACTACTTAGTGGTAAAAAAGTGACTTATAGATACACACACAACTTGCCTAGGATAATCCTCATTAGATAGGCAGAGTCCAAGGATTCTGCTAAATATCCTACAATGTACAAGACCGATTCCTCAATATTAATTCAGCTAAAATGTAATCAGTGTTGAAGCTAATAAATCCTGGTAGTCTGTGTCGAAGGATCAATTCCTAAACTTAAAAAGGAAAAGTATAAGATACAAGCATACAACTTCTTTATAACTCAGGGATAAGAACAGGAATATGATTAAGACTTCAGTTCATGAAAGAACCTCCAAAGGGAACGAATTGGATGTTTCACAAGATCCTATCTTATTTCTAGCCAGGCCCTTCATTATAGGGTTTTAGGGGGCTGGCAGGCCAATTTAGTTTCTACTGCCAAGGAAATTCTGCTTGAGTAAGAAAAGGCTATAAAGGTTTGTGGTAGGAAAATTATTCAAAGACAGAATGTGCTTTCCTTAACTGATAAACATTATCGAAACAAAAGACAGGGTGAGGTGGAAGTTCTATCAGTTCCTCTCTGTGGTTCTTCAAAGAATCGATGCTAGCAGGTCATCACTAGCCAATCATAGAAAACAGTGACTGCTGCAATCCTGCAGTATCGTGAGTTCATCTGCTTTTAACCACAAAGATTAATTGTGAAAGATAACACTATGGGGAGCAAGAGCTGCTTCACCGTCTCAGAGGAGAAACAAACTGGTACCAGTTCCTGCAAATAGAGCCACCAAAAACAGTCTCAATAGTCAGACCAGTTGAAGGGAAAGAATGATTTTGGTTCTGAAAGGGCAAAGAACAAACAAGACAGGATTTCAGCAGGGAGGGAGGTTCTAGCTGAACCAACAGTCCTGTGGATAGAAGGACCAGCTGCTCACACAGGACTCCATGACCAGATGAACAGAGCCCATGACAGGCAACTCACCTGAACAGGGAAGAGACAAGACTGAAAACTAAAATAGGCCTGATGGTATATGAAGAGGAGAAAAATATTGGCATTGAAATAAGGCAGGCCTTGTGGAACAGGAGAGAATCCAGGACTAAGGTTGGGTTGGGGATCCAACTCAGCTCCCTAGTTTGCCTCTTCTGAGCACAATGGTGTCATCAATGAATGAGAAACTTTCCAAAACCACGGGGCTCCATTTTATGTCAGGAAGCAGTGGGATGATTTCTCGTGATCTACCACAATTGCTTCTCATTTTTAGAGAACAGAACCCATAGCTACCTCTAGCAGCCTCTTTCTGAGTGGTTCCATAACACACCCCTACTTGTGCTTTCCACTACAAACCCTACCTGAGCCAGGTAGGGGTGAGGGGCTGTGACATATGGCTCCTTCACTGCTACTGTCCTCAGTGATCACTCACTATGAGTGGGATCTTCAAATTTTATCATACATGATATCATGGTCTTCAGTTCTCTCAATCTTGGCTGCATCTCTGGGTTGATTTATGTCAATCTATATTTTCAAGTAAATTTAGACTCAAATGGTTTGGATACTCTGAAAGAGACTGAATTTTGAACCAAGACTCTCCCTCCCAGTTCAGAACTATTTCCACTCAACACACATGACTGTGCCCCCACCACACCATTACAACACACTATGTGATGCACCCTTCTTTATACCATTTTATATCCATGAGTATGTGCTTTCTTGACTAGAATATCAGTTCCCTAAAGTTATAATCAAGTCACATATTTCTGTTTAATAAGAAATAATAATACTTTTAAATACTCAATATTCATTAAGTATTTTTTAATTTTTTTAGAAATTCATTACAAAATATGGAAAATAAAAATTACAAAAAAAAATTATTAACATTAAATGTTCTAGATGGCATATTGTGTCATTCGTGGTAATTTTCAGGCTTATTCATTGAAATGTCTTCAAGACTGCTGAAGGCTTCGACTTGTTTTTAGGTTATCAATGTTCTTTTAAACCCAGTCAACACACCCTCTGTGTCAATGTCATGGACACAGTATGGGTCATCAAATTCTTGAATTTTATGTCCCAAATAAATGTGCTTCTGATGATTGATAATGAGAATAATAACGAAGAACCATGGGCAACTCATCTCCTGTAAGTCAAAATCAAACAGTATACTCAGCTTACATGGACCATCGTAAAGAGCACTCTATTTTATTCAGCCCCATGTGTGATGTTCAACATTCACATATTGCTTCAGCTATCTTTAGTGGGAGAGAACAGATTTTCCAATCCAGTTTTTTAACAGCGCAGAGCACAAACTCAAGGCCTGTCTTCATTAGACGTGGAGGATTTGTCCACTCAGTTGTATTCTGAAACAATTGGACTGCAGGCAAATACTTTTTACAGTGATGTGTAACTTTCAGAGCTAAGTAGCAGTGGCCCCCATGCCAGATCAATGAGGTGGGTTAAATACTTATAATGTGAAGACTAAGGAGGGAAGAGAAAACTCCAGCATTTTTCTAGTTGCATAGCAAATATATCAGGTTTAAAACTGAAATTTCTACACTCGGAACAAAGCAGTAATTGTGTATGTTCTTACTCATCAAAATGTATTAAATACGCACAGCTTATTTATACCTTAAGATGGTTGTTCAAGCATTGGTTTAATTACTGAATACATTTTGCATTGATTGTTAGTTAGGAAACGAGAGAACGGAACAAAAGTTTTCATTAGACTCAAACTATTTTTGAAGTCGAAGTGGCTCCAGAAGAAATAATTGAGGTAAGACAGCAGGGGTAGAGGTTTCTTAGGGTGTTTTGTCACCTTAGAGTCTGACAGTCTTCCAGGTGCCATCAGATCCACTCCTCCTGCTATCTCTTTTCAGGCTGAGATACTTCCATGCTAGGTATGATTTACTGCCTGAACATTGTACACAGAAAGAGAGGGCAGGAAAACCTGATCATTCACTCTAAGTGTAAAACAGAAGGGCCATTTTCTTCTCCTAAAGTGTTGTCTCTCTTCCACCTTAGCACTGACTTGCCTTCAGGTCACACGATGAGACTCTACGCCAAGGAGTTTCACCTCCAACTGCAAGGCTCACACCAGCCACCTTCAGAGCACCAGAATTCTGAACTTCCCATGTAAAAGTTCTACTGGGGTTAGAATGGTTTCTTTACCTTGCAGTTCAGAAACTTGGCCTTCACAGAAAGGTCAGTTCCAACTAAAACTACACTCTCCAGGAAAAGCTTCAGAAGACACAAGTTAATTCCTGAAGAAGGGGAAGAGCTTCCTGAGTGCTCCTTTGACCTCCTTGTTTCTCAGAGTATAGATGAGGGGATTGAGAGTAGGGCTCAGCATGGTGTACAGCACACCGGCCAGTTTGCTCTTCTCCGCATTGTAGCTAGAGACTGGGCTGATGTAGGCATAGAAGACCGCAGTGTAGTACATGCACACCACAATCAGGTGGGACGAACAAGTGGAGAAGGCTTTTTTCTTCCCCTCTGCTGTCCGCATCTTTAGTATACTGGAGATGATGAACCCGTAGGACACTATGGTCATCAGAAAGTTCAGTATGCCATAAAAGGCATCAGCCAGGACAATCATGATGCTGTTCACATAAGTGGAGCTACAGGAGAGAAGTAATAGAGGGGGGACCTCGCAGAAGAAATGGGTAATGACATTGGGGCCACAGAAATTCAAGCGCATCATCAACCCAGTGTGGATGGCCGTGTTGAAGGCACAGAGAACCCACACACCTGTGGCCAGCACGCTGCAGAAGCCCTTGCTCATCATGGTACCATAGTGCAGGGGGTGGCAGATGGCTGCATATCGGTCATAGGCCATGACCGTGAGGAGGAGGAGCTCAGAAGATGCAGACCATGTGAGAAAGTAGAGCTGGGCCATGCAGCCCCCATAGGAGATGGAGCTCTCCAGTGACACCAGCCCCTCCAATGCTTTCGGCATGATAGAGGAAGTGCAAATGATGTCCATGGTGGCCAAGTTGAAGAGAAAAAAGTACATGGGTGTATGGAGCCCAGGGTTGAAGCTGATAGCCAAAATGATGAGGATGTTGCCCGTAAGGGCCACAGAATACAGGGAGAAGAAACAGCAGAATAAGAGCACATGATATTCTGGGTGCTCCGAGAAACCTTGCAGGATAAATTCTGTTACCACGGTATGGTTACTCATGGTCCTCATGCTAAGAAGGCTCCTGGGCTATCAGGTGGATGTCCACCAACATCTGCATATGGTTTCAGTGCTAGAGAAACAAAGGAGAAGTGTCCTGAGGAAGGCTGGAGCCACGCTTCATAACCACCTGTCGTTAAGGCCTGAGCACACGATGTAGATGCCAAGGGCTTACTAGCAAGATACACACATTAATACAGCACAAACCAAAAGGCATTAACACTTGGTTATCAGAAGCCAGGACAAATTAAAATCATGAGACAGCACTCAGGATCAGTGAAAAGCAAGTTGGAGGACAAGTGGGTGGATCTTGAGGTGATTGTCTTAGTGAAATTAATCAAACAGCAAGAGATACCAGATCATGCTGCTTATTTGTAGATTTAAAAAAAAAAGCCTGGCAAAGCACAACAAAAAATCATTTTTAGACTCTGAAAAATATACTGTTTACCAGGTTAGAATCAGGGGAGGGATTAGAGAAGGACAAAGGTCGGGACAGGGAAGGAAAGGAGCAGGACTCAGGCACAGGAGTTTGGGTGGAGGGGGGAGCAGTCTGCAAAAATGGAGGTGTGGAAATGTACCCCCAAAGTGACATATTTATTTAACTGTCAAGTTAGTAAAATTTAATAAAATACGAAACTATATATAGGTAGAGGAAAGAAAAAGAAACCCAAGTTACATAAATGACCTGCCCTTTATCAGCTGTGGTTTGATAAAGTTAAAACAACACAACATTGACCAACATTAGCAGAGAGGCCAAGCTGTAAGCATCTTAAGATTTGTATTGCATTGGGGCCAGAACTTGTGCTACTAGGAATTTAACCTAAGGAAATTACTAGTAATATCTTCAAGGTATCATCACAACACTCCTTACAGCAGTGAAAATTGAAAAGCTAACTATACTCTTAAAAAATGAGCATGTTACTACATACTGATATATTACAATGCAATGTACTTATTACAATGATGCTTTACTTATAAAAATAAAATGGAAAAATTCCAAAAGAGGATGTATAGTAAGAGGTCATTGAGTTTTATTTACAAAGGATGTTTGCATATGTACCTGTAAGAAAAACAACTGGTGAGTGATAGACCAGAATTGGAAAGGTGGGAATGGATTGTAGTTTATATAATTTCCTTGTTTTTGTTGATCTGTATTTTCCTACTTTTCTATTTAATGATTTTTCCCAAAGGTAGATCTACCTGGTAATTCTCCTTCCAACAATTCTTCTGTGATTGTCACTGCTGACAGAGCCCAGGCTCCCAGCGATGTCTCCTGGGCCCACTTCCTCTCTAGTCAACACATCCCCACTTACCTTACCCCTCAAATCCAAAGCTGTACCCGACCTCCCAGTCCAGATATTGCACTAGGTCATGCTAGAATTTCATTCTTGCAGAACTTTCAGGTGGGAATAATTGGTATATTTGTCTTGGCACTCTCTGAGCGAAACTTTCTGCTTTGCACTATCTATACCTGGCATAGAATGGGTGGGCGCCCAAGAGCATTAGTTGAAATAATGCTAAAGAACAGTATAGGGTAAATAACGGCAGAGTACTTTGTATTTTAAGACAAGATACATTCTATATTGTTTAAGATGGAAAAAGTATTACAGTTTTTCCAGCTTTTAAACTATTTAGAATAACTCACTTAAGGAAAATGCCTATTTTTAATTAAGGGGGATTGTCAAGTATCAATGAATGTGTTTGATTGAATAACTAAAAGGTTTATATAAAATGCCTAAAAAAACACCTGTGATTGTATCATATTACAATTTCTATGTTGAAGACTGTTCTTTAAATAGAAGAGCATAAAATTTCTGTGACTCAATGAAATAAGCTGGTTTGGTAGTGTGGAGATTATTCAAAGTTCATGCAAAGGTGCAGTCCTTCTGTGTCTTTCCAGGAGTAAGATAATCAGTCAGCTCAATCACTTTGGTGAATAAAACTAAACATACTTCAGTTTATTTTATTTTTGTTTAGAACAAAAACAATGACCATTACTTTTTCAGTTCAAATAATGGGTCTGGAGACAACTTGCTGCTAACTTTATTTGCCCACAACCAGTCTTGTAGATAATTCATTTTTAACGCTGGAAGCCACTGTGAGGCTGAAAATCTAAGACAGGTTGAAAAGGAACAGAGTTGGACCTGCCCCAGGGCATCTCTCTGAAAGGTTTCTGCACTCCCCCACGGGCCCCCCGTCACTGCTCACAGTCCAATCTGCAAACTAGAGACATGATGCTGTGGTCACAGACAGAAAACAGACATCTCTACCACCAAACAGAGCAGCAGCGGCATGTCTAGGACAGACCAACACTTTAGCATCAAGAGAACCTATTATAAAGGAACCTGAACACTGTCTTTCTCTTACCTGAGCTCCAGAGTGAGGATAGAAAAAAAAAAAATTGCAACATAAATGAAAGTTCTAGACAGGTGTTGAGCACAAGTCTCACTAAACCAATTCACGTTTAGGGAACAAGTTACCCCTCTGCCAATTACCCTCTCACTACAACTTCCAGGGCAGGTGGATAGTCTCTTCATTCAGTTGGTCAACAGCAAGATCAAAGAATTAGTTCTCTAAGACGCCTCGTGTAAGAATGGCCAGGAATCTCTGTTGGACCTCAGCCAGTCAGTTCTTCTGAAAATAAAGCCCTTTCTCTCCTGAGGTTCAGAGGTACTGACTTTAGAGCTCAACAAGCATCACCAGATTATTATCAAAAATAAGAGGAAAAAGACACATTTCAGATACCAATTGCCAATTTTAAACACATAATACACTCAGCAACACAATTCCCCTCATGCATGGTAAAAGGACATTTAAACAGGGATAGTTTTCCATACTTACCAGACCTACCAGCATTAAAGTTTCAGCGAAAATAAAAATGCATCTTGGCTGACTTAAATCACTTTTAAAGAAATAGCATGAAATGTTCTCAAAATGCCTGAAATTAAAAAGTTAATTTCATTGAGTTTTTCATAGACATACTTGAATTTTTCTGTGGGAGACAACTTTCTTTTGGTAAATTTTAGCTTATATACAATTTTTGTGTATAATTAACTACATGGATAATTAATATTGTTTTTAATACTGTGCTAATGGAGAAGCTTATATACCACTATTTCTTATCTCTAAAGGGGTTTAAGGATTTTCAAAGATACCATATAATTATTCTAATGCACTTCTATAAAATGAAGGTGAATATTCTAAATTGAACCATATTTCAAGAACAGAGAACTAAAAATCAGAAATGCCAAAATCTCTGAAAGATACTTTGAAGATGACCTAATCTGACCTATTTATTATTAAATCACATAGGCAATTGTCTTAAACTTAGTCACACAGTTCATGTCCAGTCCAATGACTTTTTGTTAGACTTTAGAAGTCCAGCCTAGAATTTTTATGATTGAAGTATGTAATGATGGCCATAAACTCTCAGTTCATTTTTGCATACTATTAGTGCTATATTTATTTACTAAGCTGTAATAATACAGTGATATAATACAATACAAAATTCTCAAATGTTACTAGATAAACTAAATAAAACTGTCAGTTTTTTTAATCATCCAAATTAAAAAGACCTAAGAGTTAAAAAGAATGTGTTCATTCTCTTATATCACCTGATTAAATACTCATTTTCTAATTACCTCAACAAAGTTCTTTTCACTTGTGTAGAGCAAATAGATTTTATGTATAGCTGTCCCTTCTCAAAAACCACAACTGATCGAAAACATGGTAACAGTGAAGCAGTAGGCAACCTAGGAAAAGATTGCTCTAGACAGGATAAAGATTTTCTTCCCCTATTTAAGCTTATCTTGCCAAGAATTTGATCATCTTCTGCAAACTTTATCACTGCCTCTGGGAGATACTTGGAAGAAAAGTTCATAGCTATTACTCTAAGTGGACCCTGAAGGAGCAATTAAATTAAGTGTCTTTGCTCGGTACTTTGGCTATCATTGGTGTTCATACAGAGGCCAGTTCAGGCTTCTGATCCAAATGTACATAAGAGTCTAAGTCTGAGTAGGATGAAATCAAATACTCTCAGTTAATGGAATCTGGGTGTATGGTAGACTCAGATCGGGTGCTCAGAATAACATGATCACTCAAACAGGCAGCTGACATCTCTAGACTGTGTTCCTTGGAATTCTAGAGGCATGGTGCAAGTGTTCCTATACTTTCCTGAATAACCCATGCCTACTTACAGAGATGGGCCCCTCACCTACCGTTACTCAAAATTTGGCTCCCTTGAAAAGCTGTCTTCCCTTTCCCTCTCCTTATACTTTCTCTCCCTATCCAAATCCCATAAAGATTTAACTCCATCTTTTTTGTGACTATTTCATGGCTCCCTGTAAGAAAATGATGAACCGGTACTAAATCTCTGTAATACCTTGGGGTTTCCCAACCATGCTTTAATGTTAGTAACATAGACTTTGGAGTCTTTATAGACCAGGGTCGTATCTCAATCTTGAAAGCTACTACGTAACTTTGAACAAAGCTCTTGACCACTCTAGGACCTATTATCATAATGATAATACTTAGCTCAGAAGATTTAAGTAGTCACTTTTCCGAAGAAGATATACCAATACACACATGAAAAGATGTTCATCATATCTTATTATTAAGGAAATGAATATCAAAACAACAACGAACTATCACTAAAAACCTGTGACAATAGCTGTTACCTAAACAGAAAGAAACATACGGAGAGAAAGAAAACAGGGAACTCTTGTACACTGTGATTTGGAATGTAAATTGGCAGGCTATGTGGAAAAGACTGCGAATTCCATGAAAGATTAAAAATAGTTTCATATGACCAGTTAACCCACTTCTGAGATTTTACCCAAAAAATATAAATACTAATTCAAAGAGATATTCACCCCATGACTATTGCAAAAGTATTTACAATAGTCAAGAACTGGAAACAGCCTAAATGCCCATCAATAGATAATAGGTAAATATGTGATACACACATGCACAGACACAACAGAATACTATTTGGTTATGAAAAA